CGGAATTCGGAAGGAAAATATAGATAGTTAGGAAATCAGGGTTCTTTCAACTGAACCGAATTTCCGACCGAAAAACCGAAATATTATAATTGCAAGCTCCAAATGGTGGATTTTTATGTTTGTAGTTGTTTTTAGACTTAAATATTTGAAATGTTTTATGATTTATGTGTTGAAAAGTTTGATTTTATCATTGATGATGCATATAATTGCATATTTATTGTTTATATTAGGGATGAAAAATAATTTAAAAGTGAGAAAATACAAGTAGTTTCACAAATTCGGTTTTGTATTAAAAAACGAACCGAATTATAATACGGTTCGAATTTGGTTTGAGGTTTGGGAGAATTCGGGGACCCGTTATTCATAATTTTGGTTCGGTCAAAACCGAACCGACCGAATGCCCACCCCTACTTTCACACCATCGCCGCAACAGCCCTTCTGCCCAGCCAAAGCAGCACCAAAGTGCGAAAGTAAAATATCACAGCAGGGGATTTTCGGTTGTGGGCATAAAATCGAACCGTGTTATAATTCGGTTCGAACTCGGTTTGTCATGTGACTGTAATCGGAACCTCGGTAGTTGTCAATTCGGTTCGGTTTGGACCGAACCGACCGAATGCCCATCCCTACTCATACCACTCGTGAACACCTACATACTATATGGTATCTCCTTCATTTTTAAGTTGATTTGGAAAATTCTTGCACAGAAAGAACAAGTTCATCATGATTTGTTGGATCTACAAATTTCTGCGGAGAAATATAGGACCAAAAAATACCACCCCATACCACTCTGGTGTGGGGGTGGTAACTTGTGGTACACAATGTTGAAAGTTGTAAATGACAGTCTATTCCTACTATCATTTATTCAACAATTCTACAGTCTAGTATGTTCATACCACGTGGTATGCTCTTATGTAATACTAAAAAATACCACCATGGCATAGACTAGTACTAAATGCCTCAAAAAATTTTATTCAAAAAATATATCAAAGGGGATATCATTTTGACGAGCACAATTTTTTTTGGGTAGGAAAATGGGGTGCTAAAAGGGCACCCCTGTCTGACTCTTAGATTAGACGAGTTTAGGTAATGCCCATCATATCGTACAAAATCCAGAATGAAAGTCTCGGGTCAGAAATATTGAACTCATGGCAACCTATACTATAAGAGTGACCCTTATTAGCCAAGTAGTCCGCTGGCTTATTGCACTCTCTGAACGCATGAGAGACTTTGATCTCCCAATTTTGTTGAAGCAACTTCTGGAATTGCCGAACCTGAATCAAATACCTGTGATCACCTCCATCATTAGAGGACATAATCTGGACGTCTGCAAGTGAATCTAAATGAAGATGCACCCCCGAAAACCTCTGTTCCAAGCTAATTGGTGGCCTTGAATGGATCCTTTGATCTCAGCCCTTGTAATTGTGCATTCACCAAGGTTGGAGCTGAACGCCCCAAGGCATTGGCCGAGATGATTATGGATCAGGCCACCTGCTGTTGCTTCTGAACTGGGCTTCTGAACAGATCCATCCGTATGGACAGAAACCCAACCTTGCTCATGTGGTTTCCACGATAACTCTTCCTTTGATTTACGCTTAGCGGCAGAGTGGATCGTTTTATCCCCTTCTTGAGCTTGAGTGATTTTTTAGACCAGCAACAAATCCGTTCTGCCAAACTGCGTCCGACTGCTCCTTTTTCTCAAATATCCATTCGTTGCGCCTTTTCCACAAGTACCACGCAGCAACTTCGAATAACAGTCCGGATTTCGCGTTCTGCAGATTCGTCAATATCCATTCTGCAAAATAGAGTCCTAGAGCAAGATGAGTGTCGGCTATCCCCAACTTAAAACGAAAGAGATATAGTCTGTTAAAAAATTTAGAAGAGAAAACATCAAATTCTTCCATAAATAGTAATGTGGCATTGATATAGCTGATTATGTATGCTTATGCACCACAAAGTTATCCAGCAGAAGTCGGAACTGCCTCCCCACTCATGGGCGGAGCCAATATTGTTTAGATTATGTGGACTCAAAAATTTCTTGAATATATTGCAATAATAGATTATAATATTATACAGAAAATAATTTATTTAAGTATAATAAATAACTATACAAATCCACATCCCCGCTTTCCCCATCCCCGCTTTCAAATATCCAAATCCACATCCGTCCCATACCCATGCGAAGGAAGGTTTTGTAAACCCATCCACATACCCGTGGGTTTCGGGTACCCATGGGTAATACCTGCCCGTACATCAAACATTATAACACCTAAAAATTTTATATGTAATTTTTCAATTATAGTACTAAATGCACCTATTATATCATGAAGTTGACAAAGAAACACTCATTCTTAACACGGTTCAAAGCATCTTATCCTAAAACATCCATTAATCTATAAGATATAATACAATGTAATCCAAATTATTATTATCTTACTTTAATTCATCTACTAAGTAATAGCTAACTAACATAATTGTGTTAACACGAGGGGAAATGAAAGAGTGAAGGGAGAGTTGAGAAAAATTAATTAGATTTTGATTTGCGTGGCCATCCAATTACATTTCTACTAAATATTTTCTTGAGTTACAGTCACTATTATTGATAGGTTACAATTTAATCAATGTATTTATTATATGTGAAAAAATGTTCTCGATGGGGCGGGTATAGGTATGGGGTATGGGTACGGGGCGGGGGAGACTAAAACCATACCCGCCCCATACCCATCAAACATTTTTCGGGTTTTACCCATACCCGCCCCATATCCGGTCAAAGCGGGGATTCCCCGCGTTGACTAGGTCGGGGGAGGTCGGATACCCGCGGTTATGGGTTTGATTGTCATCCCTAAAGACAGGATATGGTGACAACCTTAAAGGGTTGTGACTTGTGAGTTTGACAACCAAGGTCAAATTGGATAGTTAAAAAAATATTAATTACTTTCCTTTTTATATTAATTACATTTTGGGAATTTAAAATCTACCTTAAATACAATTCTTTATTTTGAAATTGAAATCCTACCACAAATATATTTCTCTCTCTTCCTATCTCTCTCTTCGTTTTGCAGGAGCTACCTTCACTCCGACCGACAGACTTTCTCCGGTGAAATCCTCCAATCAGACTCGCTCCGACCACCTACAAAAAAAGTATCACTCTGTTAGTGTGCTAGTGGTAGTGTTTTTCGTCTAATGATACGCTACCATTATCACTGACAGCGCTACCAGTGGTAGTGATAGTGCTACCACTACTCACTGGTAGCGTACCATTATCACTGATAGCGGTACGCTACCAGTGAGTAGTGGTAGCGTTACCACTAGAGAATAACACAAAAAAAACAGATTTGGAATCTGAAAAAATCACAGACCTTAGAGAAAAAAATCAGGGGATGAGGAAATGGAGAGGCGGTGACCTAGCGGCGGCGGCGGTTGTGGGAGACTGAGGATGGCGGTAGGGCAGTGACTGGAAGAGGGTGATGGCGCGACTGTGGTGGGAAGAGGAGGGCGAGACAGGGAGAGGGTGATGGGGCGGCGGCGGCGGGAGGCGGAGGGCGGGACGACTGTGGCGGGATGCAGAGACGGAGGCGGCGACGACATGGAGAAATAGAGGAGGAGGAGGAGGATAGAGTTCTGGGGAGAGGGAAGAGAGAGGGAAGCAAAGGGAAAGGGGTTGGATTTATTTTTATTTTTTTGAAAATAGATTATATAGAAAATGAGAAAGGATTCTATGTGGTAAGTTTTTCATTCCAAAATTACCCTTATGTTAATCTGCACAACTAATTTGAAAATAAGAGAAAAGAGAAGAGAATCAATGACTAAGATATGGGTTGTTATTTTGACACTCTTAAAAGGGTTGTCACTCGGGAGCGAATCAGGTCAGTAACCCTATGGTGAGTAACCATGAATAACTCGTTCACATCAACATCTTTTTCTCTCGTGGAGAACTTTTTATCTTTTCCCCTTTAATTTTTGACGGACGATTTCTCTCTCGTTTTAAGTTGATTTTTTTTTGCAAAGATAAATTAGATTAATTGTGCTCTTTTTAAACTGATATTCACTTTGATATATATATTTAGAACAAAAAAATTGAGTCATTTTTACCAGTCAATACCATATGATATGTTCCTATTTAATACCATATGGTAAGAAAGCATACCATGATGGTATGAACATACCAATATGGTAGGAAGGTTAAATACATGATAGTTGAGTATACTAACTGTCATTTACGACATTCATCATTGTTTACCACAAGTTACCACCCACATACCATAGTGGTAAAGTATGATAATTTTTGGTCCTGTATTTTTTTCACCTAGAAATTTATAGATCCAATAGATCATGATGAACTCGTTCATTCTGGGCAAACGTTTCCAAAAACGACTTGAAAACGAAGAAGTTACCATATGGTATGTAGTTGGTAACGGGAGGTATGAAAAAAAAAATTCTCGAAATATATTGAAAATTGATCTCATTTTGTTGAGCACAACGAACTCGTTCCATTTGTGGGGGAAAAAAAATGCAATCCTAGTTAGAACGAAGAAGATTAGAGCCAATTAAGAAAACTAGAGAAAATAAAATGTTTTTAATTCACAACTTTTAAATCTGAATTTTCTGAATGTACTTAAATTTGAAGATCCAAATTTAATTACTCATAATAATACAGTAACCAATTCTATCCCAAGCCTTGTCACCCTATCTCATCCCATCTACCACTAAACACGCCGTTTCTATTCCTTGCCACATAAGAAAGTTTCTATTCCTTGCCACATAAGAAAATCAGGAAAGAATATCACACGCTAAAATTAAAATAATACTCAAAGAATGAAGAAGAAGAAAATACCGACATTTCACGGGTATAAATGATAAATCCCACCACAAATACCAAGCACGTGGTCATCAAGCTCACATCTCTCCCAACTCCCAATCCCAAAACCCCCCTCACTCACTCACACACCTACTGTAACTTGCTCTCCCACGCTAAAAAAAACAAAACAAAAAGAGAGTCCAAAATGGCAACTGCCACGACGCCGTTCGAGTCCTTCTTCCACCAATGGCTGGACCGTCAGGAAACCCTCCTGTCCCAACTCCTCGACGCGCTCTCCCCGGAAAAACCGGAGTACGGGGACCACCACCTCGCGGCCCTGATCGAGCAGTCCTTGTCCCACTACAGGCTCTACTACCGGGAGAAATCCGCCGCTGCCAGCCGCGACGGCGCCTGCCTCTTCCTCTCCCCGCCCTGGCTCTCCTCCTTCGAGCGCAGCCTCCTCTGGCTCGGCGAGTTCCGCCCCTCCACCGTCTTCACCCTCCTCCGCCGCGTCGTCCCGGACCTCACCCCGGACCAGATCCGCGCCGTCGAGGTGGTCCGGGCCGAGACCAGGAGGGAGGAGAGGATGCTGACCGAGGCAATGGCGGCGATCCAGGAGAGCATCGCGTCGCCGGCGATGCTGGGGCTGGTGCGGCGGACCGCCAGCCAGATCGACGGGGAGAGGCCGCAGGTGGACGAGGCGGTGGATTCGCTCAAGTCGGCGATGCTGTCGGTCATGCTCAGCGCCGACTCTCTCCGCGGGGTGACGGTGGCGGGGATGGTGGAGGCGCTGAGCCCGGTGCAGACGGCTGCCTTTTTGGTTGCGGCGGCGGAGTTTCAGTTGAGTGTGAGGAGGTGGGGCCGGGAGAGGGATGACCAAAGAGTTGGTCGCTAAGGAATGTATTGATAAAGAAACTATTATTTATCTATCAAATGAAATAATAAAAAATTGTCTCTATGGGTTTCAGGGCATGATTTTTGTGCTCGACTCCGGAGGTCGGCAAACTTGTTGGTTGTTGTTATGCAAGTGATTCTTTTCTTAAAAAAATGTTTTTAACTTTTTCTTGTCCATTTTCTCTTCTTAATATGTGTCAAGGTGGGAAACGAATGGAAAGTAAGAACTCGCAAATTATACTCCGATTCATTAACTCGATCCAAAATCGCATGAAAATTAGAATTTTGATAACTCGTAAACTGAATGACCCGAACTCAATAATCTGTGATTTTTTTGGTTGGGTTGGGTGGGTTCGTGGGTCGACCCATTAGACCCGTTCCATTTTATATATATCACTCTTAAAATGATAAAATCACTCATAAATTGGTGAGATGTTTTAAAAAATTCACAAGGATTTGAATGACATGTTTGGAGTTTAAGGATAATCAAATATCTTGTGTTTCTTGTAGTAACATTACTCTTGTGATTGTTTTTTAACGATTTGTGCAATTTGTATTTCATTTCATTTCATTAGCATAGGAGGATTTGAGAATATGTTAATTGACATGTGTTAGGTAAACTATTGTCATGCATATGTGAAGATTTGTGTTCTTTAAAAAAATATGAACCATGTTTGATATTGTTTCTAAGAGCGCTCAAAACGACCTGTAACCCGACCCGAAATCGAATGGGTTGGGTCAATATTTAACCTAAAATCAGCCAATCAAACATGACCCGACTCGTAAACGAAAGTCCCAACCAAAAATTACCCAACCCGAACCGATTGCCAGGTCTAATGGAAAGATACTCTCGAGCAGTGGCGGATCCAGGGGGTGGCCACCCTCGAGCCCCGGCCCAGCCCTCCTTTGGATCCGTAGTTAGTATAGTCGTTATGAATATTTCGATTTTAGGCATTCGGTCCAGTGTTATTTATAATAAGATTTGGTATAACTAGAAAAATGATTCAGATGAACATATTCAAATGGGCTAATACCACTGGAAATACCATCCTTTAGCGAAAGTGTCATTTATATTACGTATTTTCAATAAACACAAAAATATTCCAACGTATTAGGGGTTTGTGTCATCTGTGTTACGCGAAATTCTGTTGACCGTTAGATCTAACTGTTGACCTAACGGTGGTCAACATTTATCTGACCATTGATAAAGTGGCGCCTGTGTGTTGTCCACGTAGGCGACACATAGATGCCATGTTGAAAATTAATAAAAAATTAATTATTTAACATTTAAATTAATTATTTAATAATTAATAATTGAATAGAAAATTAACTTTTCTTTGACACACCCACCCTTTCCTTGACCACACCCACCTAGGGGAGAGCCCGTTGCCACCGCCGGCGAGGAAGAAGAAGCGAGCTTTATTATGTTGGGGAAGAAGATGCCGTCGGGTGCCAAGGAAGATTAATTCAACCCTCCCAAACCCAGCTTTCTCCAAAATCCAGCTTTCTTCTGCTTCAATATCTCATACCCAGCTTTCTCCGGCGGGTCGAGCTTCTCCTTTGGCGATGGTGGATCGATGGCAACGACTAGGATAGCGAGATGGCTCAATCGGGTAGGGGAGTGGCCTGAGACGTCATCGGCGTCAATGACATCTCTCTGCCTCTGCCTCTCTCGATCTTGAGTCGTCGATCGACCTTATCTCTCTCACTCAATCCCATAAACAAAACAGAAAAAATCATTGCCCAATCTCAATTCATATCCCGCGATAGCTTTTGAAACAGAAGCTTCCTCGTCCGAAATCAAGGAATTAGGAGGGTCACCTCCAATTGAAACAGATAGGAGCTTCCTCTGTCTCCGGCTCCTTGTCTCCTCTTCAACGCCCTGCGAAACAGAGTAGCATCAATGACGCTTATCACCACCACAGATTCCCTTTTGTGGTGTTCTGGATCTGCGCTTGAGGGAAGGCGAGAATCAAGGTGAAGGGAGTGGAGGACGGAGAGACGGTGGGAGCCGCTGTGAGGATTAGACTATTAGAATGACCCACCCTTTCTTTTTTCCGCTGCTGTAAGAAGGACGCCTCTCCCTGCCTCTGAATTTCTTCCTCTTCAATCTCCCAAAACCAGCCTTCTCGGTGAGTCGAGCTTCTCATTCGGCGATGGTGGATCGATGACAATGGCGTGGCTGGTGGGATGGCTCAATTGGGTGGCTTGAGAACGAGGAAGAGGAAGAAGAAATAGCCTGCGATTCTGATTAACTACCACCGGCGGATTAAAGATTGGGAAGAAGGTGGCTAGGTCAGGATTTGGGAGGACTGAAACGGAAAGGATTTAGGGTTCGTGTCAGATTTGGAGGACAAGGGAAGGCGGTGTCTATTCTCGACAGTGGGAGGATTAATCGATTTAGGGTTGTCCTAACACAAATCTCATAAACAAAAAAAAAATCATTCCCCCAATCTGCAGCCGAAAACAGAGCCTGGAAGAAGAGGTTGGCGACGGGGAGAGATCGAGAGAGATAGGAAGATGAAGAAGACATTTTCCTTCTTTGCTTTGATTTTGTTTTTTGTTTTTTTAATTTTTTTGGGTTGTTTTTTACATTTATTTTTTATTACAATTTTCCACATCAGCTGCCACGTCATTGCTGACTGTATTTTCTGTTAACAACTAACGGAAAACTTAACGGCTGGTATACAATTGTCATATCGAAAATTACGTAATATAAATGGCACTTTCGCTAAAGGTTGGTATTTCCAGTGGTATTAAGCCTATTCAAATCACTACCCTAAATTTAACCTAGAAATTTCAGCCCCAACGATTATGAGTCTAAAAAAACAACGAAATCTAAAATTCTAAAAGTTTAAAATGAAAAAGATTAAGAGAAATATGAGGTTTGTTCCCTTAAAATTTTACTAGAGCATCTGGTGGATGCAGGGATGGACACACAATGCAAATTGATTAGTCGATTTGTCTAGTGTTGATGTTGCTCTTTTCAACAGCTACTACGAAGAGAACCTTTTCAATAATGAAACATGCGAGAATTGATTTGCTCAACAAAATGAGCGATGAATTTCTCGCCGATTGCTCTGTAGACTCCATTATTGATGCATTCTCTAAATTCAAATACTATCGGGTACAATTTAAATTGCAAAAAAAACTATAATCATTATTTTTTTTAAGGTTCTAATTTTCTAATGAAATGTGGCCCGGTACTTCTCTATGTTGTGGATCCGCTGGTGCGGTCGAGTCTCTATTCTAGTGACTTGTCAACAGCTTGGTGATATTAATCTGATATATATTTTTTAATGAAATTTGATATAATTTAATTATCAAAAGCATTTTTTAATAATTTAATTTTTTTAAAAATGCTTGTCCCATGTAATGCGCAAAAGGGGTTTTTGTTTGTTGTGATTAATTTCACATTTTTTTCGGCTAAATTACACGTTTGGTCACTCAAATTATATAAATCTTTCACGTTTGCCACCCGAATTACTTTTCTTTCTTATTCGCCACTAACTTTACGAATCGTTTCACCGTAGCCACCCGCCGTCCAATTCCGTTAAAATCATCCTACGTGGCAGTCAACCAAAGCATTTGACCGTTAGTTTTGATGACGTGGCAATTAAAAAATAATATAAAAATAAAAATAATATAAAAATAAAAAATAAAATCATTTTTATATTATTTCCAACCTTCGCCCTCGCAATTCCGTACCACCACTGGACATTGAAGGCGAATCGGATTGGGTTCCTGGTGATGTACTCGCTCACTTTCTTCTTCGCGAATTTCGGCCCCAATGCGAAGACGTTTGTGGTTCCGGCGGAGATTTTCCCGGCGCGGCTGAGGTCGACCTGTCACGGGATCTCGGCGGCGGCGGGGAAGGCAGGGGCGATGGTGGGGGCGTTCGGGTTCCTGTACGCGGCGCAGTCGACGGATCCGGAGAAGACGGATGCCGGTTACCCGCCGGGTATCGGGGTGAAGAACTCGCTGATTGTGTTGGGTTGTATTAATTTCTTCGGGATGTTGTTTACCCTGCTGGTGCCGGAGTCGAAGGGGAAGTCGCTGGAGGAGCTTTCCGGCGAGAACGAAGAGGACAGCAGCAGTGGGAACGAGGCTTCCGCCAATAGGACTGTGCCGATCTAATAAAGACAAAAAAAAATTAGTTTTTAAGTTTAATTGCCACGTCATCAAAACTAACGGTCAAAGGCTTTGGTTGACTGCCACGTAGGATGATTTTAACGGAATTGGACGGCGGGTGGCTACGGTGAAACGATTCGTAAAGTTAGTGGCGAATAAGAATGAAAAGTAATTCGGGTGGCAAACATGAAAGATTTATATAATTTGAGTGACCAAACGTGTAATTTAGCCCATTTTTTTCTAATAAAAAGAAAGAATCAACCTTTCCACATTCTGTTTTTCTTTTGGGGGGATTATCCCCTTTACTGTTGTTTCCGAAATTTGGCACAAGTCCCAATAACGAATGAAAAAGTTTCAAATCAGAAGTCTCATACTTTCTTTTTAAGAAACGGAAATACACGTAATATGGTCCTTACAACAAAGAATTTAATTCTTATGGATGTTTAATCAAAATGAGTAACTATGTTTTTTTCTTCTTTTTTTTTTAGGGAAAATGCGTAACTATGTTTGGGTCGAAGTGTCAAGGTCCTACCATGTTTTAAAGCTAAAATCATATTAAAAATTCCTGTAAACCGAACTTTTCGAGCTCAACATTATTTTTGATAGTCGTGGAGTTGTTCGAAGCTTCAAGGCTTCAACCTGTATTGGGGGGTCTAGAAGTTAGAAGCTTTGGTTTGTTTTATATATATATATATATATATATATATATATATATATATATATATATATATATATCCAGGCAGCTGATAGAATGAGATTCTTCGCCTAAACGATTGATGAGGCTGATGGCGTTGCTATAGTGAATTTGGAGGTCAAAAAATTGAGTTGTCCATAAGATGTATCTAATATCGCGACCCCTATTTGCTTTGACAATATAGGGTTCAGGTGGAGGAATGCTTAGTAGTACTGCCACGAGCTACTTGAAGGCACTGTGATAGGAAATGTGAAACCGGTGAGCCGAAACGACATCTCAGCTTTAGGCAGTAGCACTATGGCTTTCAACATTAATGGTTTCAACTTCAACCTCTCTGTAGTTGATAGTTAAGGTCACGTAATTAACACCCGGGCTTATATTATTAACCGCCAAGACGATGAATTGTGTGCTTTGGTAGATGCCGTGGTGGCCGACTGATGGAAATTAGAGATGTAATTCGTTGGTGCGTCTATGTGATCACATTAATCCGTCCAGGTTATTGTCAGTGGTTAGCATGTGTCAACAACTACCCCTATCCTAAGCCAAGTTTAACCTAAGATGACATTGTCGAATAGTGGCAGTCAATGTCGTATTTTACTCAGGTCCTGGTACCCTAGCCTACTTCCCACCTTGTTGTTATTTAGTCGATCGATTTGGATGTTTGAGTGAAGGATTTGAGCGAATTACTAGTTTAGAGTTTCGTGGTTATGCACACACCTCCGAGTATGCCTCCCCTAGACCCATATAAATTCACCTCGATCTAGGATATCTTATCTAGGGCATTAAGCTCGTAGCTCCTTTCAATGGATACCAATGCTGTCAAAGCCGAGCCGGAGTATGACCCGGTAGCGTGAACGGCTCGGTCATTAGTGGTCCAGCCGGCATTAGACCGTTTAAAAATCGTTTGAGAACCAGTACATTATAAACAATATAATATCATAGTAGAACACACATAAAGTAATAATTCAATGATTTAATGAGTAAAAATGATAATTACAGGTTCCATTTAATAATTCTACACAACATATATATACAACAACTAAAAAAACCCTAACCTAATCCTAAGCGACAGCGCCGCTTCCCCACCCATCACTCTCCTTCCTTCCGCTTCCCTATCCCCCTCCCTCTCTCCTTCCTCCTCTCCACCGCCGCACCTATTTTCATTTTTCAGCCACTATAGCCTTCTGCAATTCCTCAAAAATCCATCACCACATTCAATTCTTCCTCATCATTTCTTAACCCGTAAATGCTCTTCCTCGTCCCAATCCGCGAAATGGCTCGGATTCAATCCAAGCCTCTGGTGAGACTGGGCAGCTTAGCGGGGAGCTGCTTGCGACGGTGGCAACGGGATGGAAGCGCCGGGAGCGGGGAGCTGCTTGCTACAACAAGGACTGGCGATGGCGACTGGGGATGGTGATGTCGTTGGGAAGCGCCGATGCCGGGACAAGAGGTGTTGACGGCCGATTCCACGATTGGCCTTTTTCTTTTAGGGTAAACCAAACGGCCGAACCGCGCGACCGGCTTGAGCGGCTCGAGCGGTTAACCGCTTCGGCCGCTCGCCGGCCGCTGTATAAAACCGTGGCGGTTAAATAGCTGATCCGAGCCGGTTTTACGGCCGGGTGGCGGCTTTGGCGGTCCAGCCGGCCGGCTCGGTTCGGCTTTGACAGCACTAATGGATACTATCCACCGTCCACATCGAGGTTTTATCCCGTGTTCTATCTAGTAAGTCTACGTATAGTAGGGGTTCGGTCGCCTCGACCACCATAGATCCCTATTCATATATCTACCTTAATTTGTTTGATGGCACATACCCGTCTAACCCTAGAACTCCATACCCAACATAGAAACATAAAGTAGGCTAATAAAGAAGATTAAGGCGACTTACCCAAACACAATCAATGATAGAATCGCAATAGAATCAACTAGATAACACATTCATTCATTCAAACCCTAGAATATCCATACATACATAGTAAACCCAAAAACTAGAGTTTGGGGTTTAGAACCCCTACTACCTTAGAAGACTACTTCATAAATGAGTGAAGAAGATACATAGAAGAGGTGGAAGAAGACTTGATGTTGAGAAAGATGCCTCCTCTAGCTCCTTCTCCTCTTCTCCTTCCTTCAGCTTCTCTCTCTTCTCTATCTCTAAAACCAAAAATTCATTTATCAAAATCAGCTCTCTCAAAAGGGGGAAATACGTCTTCTATTTATAGGCAATCAAGGGACGGAGAAGTTCGCGGCCGTGATCTTTAATAGCGAGGTCACGATCTTGCAACGCTGTCGTATTGGCCTTTGGGATTGAGGAGATCGCGGGCTGACTTCGCGGTCGCGATCCTTCGGTCGCTGCCGTGATCTTCCTCGTGGTCAAAATACACTATGGTCGTGATTCGACTAGGGAAACTCTATGCTTTTCGCGAAGTTCCCGCCCTGAGCCTCCAATTCATCGCGGCCGCGATCTTCAGCTTGACTTCGCGGTCCATGTTCTCGACCGTGATCTTCTCTTCTAGGCCACGATTTTCAGTTTTCTACCCCCTTGCTACAATTGCGACCTTGTTTTGTACTTAATTCGCAATTATTGCATTAGGAACGAAATCGGGATGCAATTGACGATGTTCACGCAATTATGCACATGAATTGACACGAAACAAACCTCAATATGAAGGGTAAATAACACCAATTTAGGTGTTATCAAACTCCACCGCACTTAGGCGTTTTCTTGTCCCCAAGCAAACCTACTCAAACCTAATGCAACATGATACACAAACCAATGGGGAATGCACTCTAGTTCTTCATTGCATAAAGAAGAGTAGACGGAGATGAATGAACGTTACTATCATCTTACTGTGCAAGCACAAACTCTTGGGTGAGGATCATACTTACTACCTTAGGCCGAACATTCAAGGTGTCCCCCGGGGGATTCTCAAACAACAATCAAGCACAAGAACTCTCAAAAGTGCTTTTCATTCTTTCTTATGATCAAGAGTTGTCATTTATTTGTCTCCTTTTTCAACATTTAAGCGCATTGCACCTAGCTTTTGCAATTATTTTGCAAACAAGCATCTCTCCCTGATTGACCAAGAGCGGATAAACCATAGTCTTCCCTTTCAAGGTCACATGTGGGGAAGTTGATGGGCAGATTCATCTTAGCCCGAGCACCATTTCCCAGTCTGCGCTCCACATTGGGCTGTCACACATGTCGGGTACAAACGAGAGCTTTGAGGTCTTATGAATCGTTAAAAGGTACTTTGGACCTTGGCATATGATTCTGTGAGGAGGAAAGATGCTTGGGGGATGGTTAGTAGTGAAAGATGGTAAGGACACAATAAAGCTATTTGATCCCCAAGCATATCCTCAAAGCGCACTATGAATCCATGAGGATTAGTTGCCTCTCATGTGAGCCTCATTTGCAAAAGATTTTTCTCTCTTTTCTTTCTTTTTTAATACGCAAAAATCTTTAAAAACTTCGAGTTCAAAAGTCAAACAAAGCAAAAGAGTATTACCGCACACATGTTCTTCCTAAAATAACACATATTGTCTACTCACAAAAGAGGAAGAAGATAGTATTACCACACAGTGGTACTCTAATCATGCAACTATCACCTGGCGAGCTTAACACAACAATCATCTAACAAATCAAAGCATATTGAGTATGGAGTTGCAAGGAACAAGGTGATTTGGAACCCTCAAATTTGAAAAAAAGAAGAAAAATTGGGTAATGCATTGAAGGTTCCAAAACACTATCATTTGACCATTGATCATCACAACACAAACACAATTGCTAGCATACTCTCCCATACGCATTCATCAACGTCTTACATTAAAAAACAAGTGAGGATACTAGCAATTCATGGTTCAACCAATCATGATAATCATTCAAACAGTCACACCATCCCTCCCCCCCCCCCCCACCCCACACACACTTGAGCAACCCGACTCGTGGGGTTCATTGATCTAGTGAATTAACATTTAAGTGCACGCACAAGAGAGGAAGAATGGGTTATCCCTAAACAAAAATATAAAAACGAATCTCCCACAAACACATATTTTATCAAGCATACTAAAGATTTAAAAAGACAAAAAATAGGAATCGGCCCCTAGATATCAAGTTGTCTTCGATGTACGGTTGGAGCATATGGTAGTTGCCAATCAGAGGTTCTTTCTTGCAAATATGATTGATAGAACCCCACGAGTCGGGTTCTATCTAGGGATTGAGAATAGGAAAGGAAATCAACGAGTGGTTGATCTTAGGAAAGAAATGGTGGAAGGAGAGATGAGAATTGAGTGAAGATGATGGTGAGAAGGGAAACAG